AGTCAGGGCTCTTTACAATGTTCATGGAAGGGACAGTCTAGGTAAAGTTCTGCACACCTACATCCCACTCAAGTGAGAGGAATTTAAAAACACATCAGAGCACAAGTAGAGCATTGATTTCAGGAATACCTCGATGCACCTAATATTTGACTGTACCAGACATTTGGAAGAGCCAGTTGTCCTGGGGTCCCTGTCTCACACATGCCATCTTTTAGACTCCCAGAATTCTTACAAACAACATGGATTCTCAGAGTAGCTATGGTTGGAAAGGGATATCTGATGTACATGTGCGTATCAACGGAGCATAACACTTTGCATAATTCCTACATTTTGGAACTGGTATGGACAAATCCATCTGTGCCCATGGTGTGCTCAAAATAACAAGATTTGGACTCTGCTTCTCAGGTAATAGTGGGAAAGAACTATTGTTTTTTTGGAGGTTCAACATTTCCCTATTAATCACCTTTTCCATACTCCCTGCCCCCTTTCCATTTGACATCCTGGTTTTCATTTAACTGCTAGGGAGTGAGAGTATCACTATGGTGGGACATGTTTTTTTTTACTTTTTTGTTTTCTTTACAATCTCAGGACCAACTCCTTGATTACTTACCTAACAGCTCATGTTAATTTATGGAATTAATCTAGTATGATGTGCGGGGGAAGCCGTGAGGGAAGGCCCCAGCTTGCCAGCTCCCTCCCACTCATAGCAGCAGGCAGCCTCAGAGATGGCTGAGACAATGGCTTCCACCCCCTTCCATCCTGTCAGATCTGCTGCTAATGCCATCTCTTTCGCAAGCATAGGAGCTAGGGGAATGGTGGTAAAAGTGACAGAGTATGCTCTTTTCTATTTCCCTTTCCACTCATGGTACTGATGGCAGCCGTGGGGTTGATTGGTTGAAGACACGAGGGGTGGAAAGGTAGCAAATGACCCACCCTCTGCCTGTGTGGCAACCCTGTAGCTACCAAGGTTGCCTGTCCCTGTAATGTTGACTTCTGTTTTACTCATTGTATCCTGCAGCTTTTATCTTACTGGTTAAGAAAGACAGAAGTATACAGTTACCACCAACTTCTTTGGAAACAATAAACATGGCTCGATTTTATGGAAGGGGCTCTCTCTGGATTTCTGACAGTGACTACTAGACCTTCCCCTAATTGAAAGGAGCCTTGTGCTTTCGAAACAATAGATTAACTTTTTTTGTTCCTGCTATTCTGAGATTTCCGTGTAACCATGGCTAGTGGTGTAGCAATACCATTTGGTTGTTTTTGGTTCTAACACATGAATTCATTTAAAAATCATAATCCAGCACTGTACATTGGTGGTCAAGGGGCAGGTGGGTGGGTGGGAATCGTGAAGCACTCGATGACAGGAATTCCAAAGAGACTCTGTTCAAGCATTGCTTTATTGAGACAGGAACAGAAGTTGGTGTTATCCCAGGCTGAGGTGCTTTATAATAACCCCAAAAGGAAACATAAGATGCTCATTTTTAAAATATAAGTCTATAGCACTCTGAAAATAAATATTGCAGTGACAAGGAAAAGGCAACCCTGGCTGCCTCCTCCTTTTGTCACTTGAACTGTCACTGTTGTTGCCATAGTGACAACCCCCCCCTTTCTCTCCTTCTCTCATGTAAACTGAGTTTAGGCGATGAGTCAGTCAGTAGGAATGCTATACTGTCCTGCCCTGGTGTGAGCTAACATAATTGAGAGGAAGATTGGGTGAGCTGCTCAGTATTAACCATGGGAAATCTGTCTGAGCTGTTGCCTCCATAATCACCACCTCATCTTGACAAAGATATCCATTTGAATGAATTTACACATAACCAAAAAAATGAGGGAAAACTTAGACTTCTCTCATATCAGAAGTGGAACTTCCACTATGTCTCCTCCATGTGGTGAAATGTGTAAGGTGTCTCTGCATAGAGAATTAGGCTTCAAGGAGACACCTTCCAGCAACCTGGTGCCCTCCAGATATCTTGAATTATTACTCCCATCATCAGCTAGCATGGTCAATAGTTAGGGACTATTGGAAGCCTATTGAAAAGACTGGTTTTCAATGAGACCAGAGCTGTACCTGAGCCCCCAGAAGAGCCTCCTATGCCACCAGGGCCTATAGGACCAGAGCCAGGACCGTCATGGGCCCCTGAGCCTGAAGAACCAAATGTCTCTCCCAGTACCTCACTGCTCCAATGGCATAGGGGGGAGGAGTGCCCATCTTCAGGTCTTTAAAATACCTAGAAGACATACTCTGGAGGTTAAGGCTCAAAAGGCCTCAAACTACTCTCAACCTCTACCAGAGCATGTTGCTCACTTGTAGCTATCCGTGGTCCTGGAATGCCCAACCTGCCTTTCTGGACTCTGACACTAGGCTTGGCACTTATCAAAGGAGCAATTTTCAGCTTTTAATTTTAATTGTAAGGGGTCAGTTGCTAATTTCCTTGGACTATAAAGCTACGACAATAGAATGGATCGGTTTATACTTTCTTCCCTGGGTGATCTCTCCCAAAATAACTGCTTTCATTACCGTAATTTGTTAATTCACGGAAGCCTTCTTAATATCTGCCAATTCCCATTTTGCTTTTCTCTATTTCATTTCAGGAGTTGGCGGGGGTGGGAGATGGGGAACAACACCATATGTTAGTCAAACAAAAGTTGCACTAACATTGATCCTTCGCATGCATGCCATATCTGACCTTTACCTAAACCACAAAGTAAGCCTTTTCTGTTACCTTGCAATGAACATTCACATGTGCTGTGATACCAAGATGAATGAAAAAGTCATTTACAGTACAGCAGAAGAAATGGAGTCAGAAATTAGACATTCCTAAAATAGATGCTTCTGAATCCTAAAGAATGAGGTGGGAATGAATGGATTAACTAGGTATTCCAGACACATTACCCTGCTTCACATATTAATCACATGAAGGGGACTCCCTGCTTAGATGGAAGAGTGGGGAGTGTGGCTATTAGGCCTGCCCCTGATATCACATGACTCTGAAGCTCTACTCCCAAATACCCATACCAGAAATGGAGCAGATATTTGAGGTGGAGTGACCCAATACCATAGTCCTTACCTTGCTGGTGAACTGGAATGCAACTCCCAGTTGGATTTTGCATTATGAAATTCTAATGCGCCAAAGGTTGGCACAAAAAGAATTTATTTTATGTTTAAAATGAATATTTTATGGAGGGAGTATTGAAAAGGGCACGCACAAAATATGTATCATTTAAATGTGGACTTTGCATGTGTTCTTTCAAAAAATCTGTAGGAAATAGGATGGATGGTAAAATGTCGGTGAAACTGAAATGGGATTGAATGAGGCTGCTCAGTCCATTCCTAGCTCATGCATCATGCATGGAGGTTTTCATAAGGGAAACAGATCTCTATGTACAAAGGCTTTTCCTATACAAAGATGTGCCATACCTGGGTGGTGGGTTGGAGAGAGCCCAACAACAGTGACAGTGAAGCTAGTAGTGTGGCCCCACAGCTCTTTCCGTGTGAGGAGCCTGCTTCACACAGATAGCATATGAAGGGGGCTTCAGTTTCAATACTGAGCTAAATTTACATATGGCTGTGCAAGTCCTAAGCCCTTGAGATCTGACTGCTGATCATTTCCTCTCCTCCATGTAAAGTGCTGTGGTTTCCTTTATTCTCTTTGTTAAATGACTGGCTTTATGTTACACAAACAACTTTTCAAATTCTTCAATATATATGAATGATTTGTTCTGCATATGAGTGGAAATCCACTTCATGCATCTGGGGATAGAGCAATAATTTCCTGATTGAAATCTCAGCAAGCTGCTGGTCAGAATCGGATTGTGTTTCCTTGAAGGAAAGTAAATATTGTAAACATGCTCCCCAACTAGGTAGAATCTCTCCCTCCTCTCTTCCCACCCACCTCCGCTTCTGCTGTTTGAATGTAAGGAGAAAATAACCATATTCTGGAACTTGCTGGAAAAGGCTGCAAAGAGCAGCCTGACTGGAAGCAGCCAGCTTGATTGATATTATTCATACATTCAGTCATTCAGAGCATTTATACCCCACCTTTTAGTCAAAAGGTCTCTCAGAGCAGCTTACAAAAAATAGTACAGCGGTACCTCGGGTTAAGTACTTAATTCGTTCCGGAGGTCTGTTCTTAACCTGAAACTGTTCTTAACCTAAAGCACCACTTTAGCTAATGGGGCCTCCCGCTGCCACCGTTGCGTGATTTCTGTTCTCACCCTGAAGCAAAGTTCTTAACCCAAGGTACTATTTCTGGGTTAGCGGAGTCTGTAACCTGAAGTGTATGTAACCTGAAGCGTATGTAACCCAAGGTACCACTGTACTAAGACAGTGCCTTCCCTCAGGCTCACAATCTAAAAAGCTACACACAAGGAAAAAGGGAAGGGAAGGAAGAGGAAGAACCATGCTCATGTTCTTCAATTTAAAGTTCTTATAACACAATTATATTGTTCTATCTATGCAGATTCTGGCCGTTAGAAGAACAACATTCATATTAATAGTGATTCTGACTTCCTTGCACTCGAAAAGAGTAGTCCTTGTTTATAGACTAGAACTGCCTATGTTTGTACAATTACTTCCCCTCAGCTCACCATGAACATTTGTAAATTAACTTTCTTTCCTAAGGCACAAGTCTGTGCCCACAGTGGAACTCTGTCACCCCAAGACTGCTTGAGCCTCCAGGGACAAAGGTGCTCATATTGACATTTAGAAGCCTTTGCAACTTTGGATTAGGGCACCCGAAGGACTATTTACCAGCTTAAACTTTAAGATCTTAAACAAGACTCTTCTTTGGTTGTCCCTGAGTGTTACTAAGGAAATGGCTTCTTTAGTGATGGCTTCCTGACTGTGGAAAGCTTTCCCCAGGAAGACCTGCTTGTTGCCTACTTTGATGTCATTTCAGTGTTAGGCAAAGACCTTTTTATTTCATAGAATCATAGAACTGTAGAGTTGGAAAGGACCAAGAGGGTCATTTAGTCCAACCCCCTGCAATGCAGGAATCTTTTGCCCATTGTGGGACTCAAACCCACAACCCTGAGATTCAGAGTCTCGTGCTCTACCAACTGAGATATCCCACCTTTTGACACAAAACTTGTTTTATCTTTGCTAGTTGCTTTTATCTCTTTTAAACCTTGTTGTTTTTCAAATTTTTTGTGTTTTTAACTGTTGTTCTTGTTATTATGATTCTTTCTAAGCCACCCTGGGAACTTGCTGAAGAGTGAGGTATAAATTCCCATAACAAACAAACAAACAAACAAACAAACAAACAAACAAACCCATCCTATAAATAGCTTCCCTGAAGCTCCTTACAAATCAGGAAAGTAGGGAGTCCCAGGTCTATTCCAACTCTACTGCCATGTCTCCTTGTGGAATTAGAGACAGTTTGTCATAGTGGTTGGAGTTTTAGACTAGGACCTGGGAGACCAGGGTTCAAATCCCCACTCAGCTATAAAGCTCATTGGCTGACCATAGATCAGTCTCTGCCTAATCCACTTCACAGGATTGTGAAGATAAAATGAGGTGTACCTCAAGTTCCTTGCAGGGGGAAAGGTGCAATATAAATATAATAAGTACATTTTATTGTGTTTCTGGACTGTATCAAAATGTAACATGATGAGAATCCATCAATCTATATTAGATCAGAAGATCACTTGATGTAAATCCATCAAGTAACAGTAAACAGCAGAGAGGTTGGGCAAGTCCAAATCCAAGTCACCCAAATGATGAGTCCTAAATGAAAAACCACAGATAATGATCTTAAGAACATAGAAGCCTGCCTTATACCAAGTCAGATCATTAGTCAATCCATCTCAGTCCATATATCTCAGTATTATTGACATTGGAAGGCAGCAGCTCTCCAGACAGAGGATATTTCCAGTCATACCTAGAGACACCAAGGTTTGAACCTGGAGTCCCAACCTAGTACCTCGGGTTACAGACGCTTCAGGTTGTGTTTCTTTGGGTTGTGGACCGCCAAAACCCGGAAGTACCGGAGCAGGTTACTTTCGGGTTTCTGTGGTCACGCATGCGCAGAAGCGCCGAATTGCAACTCGCACATGCGCAGATGCGGGTTGCAAATGCTGCGGGTTGCGAACATGCATCCCACACGGATCACGGTTGCAACCCGAGCGTCCACTGTAATTGTCACAGTGTAGAAACGATTTAACAGTTTCTACAGTCACCATTCTGGACAGAAGTAGTGAAACATCCTACAGCTCAGCTTTTCTCCATTGATTCAAGGCTCAAGGAAGAAAAGGATTGTTAACCAATGCCTTCTGACTCCTGACAAACCTCCTGAATAAGCAGTCAAGTGGCCTCTGTCTAAGCCTTGTCACCGGAGGCCTTACAGCTCTGTTCCAACAGTGTTGTTTGCAGGAAGGGTGCGTTTGTTTTGTTCATTCTGGGAGGAGACCTTGTGTACACTGTGTCAGGGAAGGAATGTGCAGAGAGCGTGTGTGTGTTTGTGTGTGTGATATATGCACAGCTGGAAAGTAAACAGGAGGGAGGGGGACAGGATGGAGGAAGGGGAGTGTGGTGATGAGATGGAATAGGTGGAATGTTAACAAGGCACATCTCTCAAGAGATCCAAAGGCAAGGCCCCAAGTCAGTAGCGCTGACTGAGAAGTGTCCCCCCCCCCCTTGACATTAATCCTGAGCTGTTTCCAGCTTAAACACACACACACACACACACACACACTGGCTGAAGCAGGGTTGCGTTATATGGAGATCTACCCTGTGTAATAAGGCATTGTGTCACAACAGGTTGGTATCCTGCAACACTTGACCCTTGGGCCTCATTTCATGTGAGTGACAAGTAGGGGGAAATAGCAATAGCAATAGCAATCACAAAAACAATAACAATTTATTATTTATACCTCGCCCATCTGGCTGGGTTTCCTCAGCCACTCTGGGCGGCTCCCAACAGAATATTAAAAACACAATAAAACATCAAACATTTAAAAATTATCTAAACAGGGTTACCGTCAGATGCCTTCTAAAAGTCAGATAGTTGTTTATTTCCTTGACATCTGATGGGAGGGCGTTCCCCAGGGCGGGCACCACTACCAAGAAGGCCTGGTTCCCTGTAACTTCGCTTCTTGCAGCAAGGGAACTGCCAGAAGACCCTCGGCACTGGATCTCAGCATCCGGGCTGAACGATGGGGGTGGAGACACTCCTTCAAGTATACTCCTTCAGGTATAATGGCCAAGGCCATTTAGGGCTTTAAAAGTCAGTACCGACACTCAGAAAAGTACTGGGAGCCAGAGTAGGCCTTTCAGGACCAGTGTTATATGGTTGTGGTGGCCACTCCCAGTCACTAGTTTAGCTGCCGCATTCTGGATTAGTTGTAATTTCCAGGTCACCTTCAAAGGCAGCCCCACGTAGAGCGCAATGAGGGGAAGGGGGTGGCAGAGAAGGCGAGGGTGGCAGGAATAAAGGGAATTCCTCACCCCACCTACTATTGAATTCTGCCCTACCCACTGTCAGCATGCAGCCCCTGAAAGATTACCCCTCTGCAGAGAGGGGTTCTCCTCCTTGTGTGTGGGATCTCCAGCGGCGTAGCGTGGGTTGTCAGCACCCGGGGCAAGGCAAGTAATTTGCACCCCCTAACCCGGGGCAAGGCAAGTAATTTGCGCCCCCTAACCCGGGGCAAGGCAAGTAATTTGCGCCCCCTAACCTGCCGCCGCTGCCAGCTTCTTCTTGCTGCTGCCTGGGCTGGTCTGGTGTGGTTCTCTCCCGCGCTCAGCACTGCGCTGGGCGGCCGCTGCACTGTCCCTCCCCCAGATAGTCCCTCGCTCTCTCTCCGCACCGCACGCCTGGCACCCACCCCTCCACAGTGGGCGGCGACCCAGCGGCTCGGATCGGATTCGCACAGCCAGCACTGCAATGAGAGAGAGTGAGTGAGCCAGGTAGGGGCAGAGAGCTGCGAGTGCGAGCGCGCCCCCCCCAGATGTTGCGCCCGGTGCGGCCGGCCCCCCCCCCTGCACCCCCCACGCTACGCCACTGGGGATCTCCATCCTTCTCTTTCCTAGCCACTGCCTTTATTCCATTTTTTAAGTGGTACTGTCACATCCTCTCTTAGCAGGCATTGATTTAGACATCTGGTGAAGCCGGGAAGAATCTGAAACCCTCTTTCAGATGGCCCTGCTGTGTTTGCTTTAAATGTCCTTATAATGTCCCTGTTAATTAAATTGCCGGAAATGTTTATAACCCAAACATATATTTCGAAGAATCCCTTGGCTTTAGTCATTTGGTACTTCTCTGAAGAGCCCAACTGAATCACTATGAGCACAATCCTCACTCGTTTCCTAGTAACACTTTTTCCGGTCCGCTCTTGGCGTTTGTGCCTTATTCTCCAGCCCTGCCTGCTGGCCTCATAGCTCTTCCAGAGTTATTGCTGGAATGCAATTACCACACAGATCCAAATGTTCATGCTTGGCAAAGGTATCACCTAGCTGTCAATGCCTTCAGTGCCCCCTCCATTTTAGTCTGTTATCTCCTAAACAGTGGTAGCCACGAGGTTGCTTTTCCAAAGGCTGTCAAGATGCATATTCAACGGATAAAATCTTGCAATAGGGTCTATGCAAAACAATTGTGCATAATCATGGCTGTTATGGGGGGAAAGACCGGAATGTCGGATGCCAGAGTTTCAGCATCAGGCACCCGGTGCTTGAATATTACAGTGGTACCTCGGGTTAAGTACTCAATTCGTTCCGGAGGTCAGTTCTTAACCTGAAACTGTTCTTAACCTGAAGCACCACTTCAGCTAATGGGACCTCCTGCTGCTGCCACGCCGCCGGAGCACGATTTCTGTTCTCATCCTGAAGCAAAGTTCTTAAACCAAGGTACTATTTCTGGGTTAGCAGAGTCTGTAACCTGAAGTGTATGTAACCTGAAGCGTCTGTAACCCGAGGTACCACTGTATACTGCTGAGAGCACAGAAAGGAGAAACATACAAAAGGAAGCTGGGGTTTGTATGCCAGGATTTCTGGGATAATCAAGTTACAAAGAATAATTACTGTATGCCATCATGACAGGAGCTCACAACAGGGTGTGTTGAATTTGTCAACTTTCAAATTCCAAAAATGAGGGGTGCTAAAAAGTTGCAACACAACTTCGGAATTCAAAAGATATTTTGGTTAAATTAATATAATGTGTAAAATTGCATAGAAATAATTAAGAATGATTGCCATGTAGAATCATAGAATCACAGAATCGTAGAATTGGAAGGGACCATGAGGGTCATCTAGTCCAACCCCCTGCAATGCAGGAATCTTTTTGCTCAAGGTGGTGCTTGAACCCACAACCTCGAGATGAAGAGTCTCATGCTCTACTGACTCAGCTATCCCACTTGCAGTTATATTGTATATTAATATTATTTATATTATTTATATATTATTCTTATTTAGTATTTACCTGACGTTTTTAAAAGGTAAAAATCTATTTTAAAAAAAGGTTTTCTGAAAACAGTCTTCAGAGTGGTTGTAGCAACCCAGCCAGATAGGTGGGGGATAAATGTTGTTGTTGTTGTTGTTGTTGTTGTTGTTGTTGTTGTTGTTGTTGTTACTACTACTATTACTATTACTATTAATCAAATGTAGACTTACCGAGCTAATTGTTGTCCAGTCACAAAAATAATAGCAGATTTGAATTCCTCATACCCAAAAGCATATTTTTAAAACTGAAGAAATTTGTAAAAATTAAGTTTCACTCCTAAAATGACATACCATAAACTGGCTACAGTATTTCCGGGTGGAAGATATGCTAGAACACCTGTAAATTTCATTCCCACATATGTGGCCAGGGAGAATTAGAAGATAGTGTTCATTGTGTATTAAACCCCGGGAAAAGGTTTTTGATAGAGATTGTCCAGTTTCCTTTTTTGAACAGTAGGAAGAAAATCTGTTACTTGCTGGTTGATAGAGATAAATACATTATCCATAAGGTCGAAACAAAATTTTAAAAATTCCTTCCAGTAGCACCTTAGAGACCAACTATGTTTGTTATTGTTATGAGCTTTTGTGTGCATGCACACTTCTTCAGATACATCCATAACGTGTGGGTGTTTCCTTTAGCAACCTCATGGATCAGACAAACATTTTACCACACAAAATGGGATTCAGTGTGCTGTGGATCAGCTATATTAAAATGTATCTCTGTTTGACTGATTGCACCAATGGTTTTAACAAATAAATTTGATTTCACTAGCTCCAGCTGTGTACACACCATACATTTAAAGCATATTGTCCCCTCCAAAGAATCTTTGGAACTATGGTTTGTTAGGAGTGCTGAGAACTGTAGCTCTGAGAGGGGTTCCCAGGATTCCTTGCAGGGGTGCTTTAAATGTATGGTGTACATGCAAGCTCAGTCACTTTCATAGCTGTCAAGTGTCCCTTATTTGAAGGGAAAGTCCCTTATTCCAGCGCCATGTCCCGCTGCTGTCCCTTATTGATGGATGTCACTTAAATGTCCCTTAAATGATGTCCCTTAAATTCCAAAGGAAGCAGCTCCTCTCCCTCCCTCCCTGCTGGCCAGGGAGGAGGGAGGCTCCAACTGTGTTGCTTGGCTGTGTTGCTCACCCAATAAGAAGTCTAAGAATGACTGGGGGGTGGAGCTTGCATGCCTTGTGTGTGGCTAGTTAATGCAAGCTGAGGGAGCTTTTGAATGCTGGACGCCATTTTGTTGCACGTGCTGCTGCAAACTTTGCAGTGCAAAGCCAGGCCGGGGAGCCATCTTAAGTTGAGGCTGCATAGGCCTTGTGGTGCATGTGATTCAGATTCTATTCAGTTGAACCTCTGGTTACAAAGTTGGTTGGACAGTGTTCTCGAAGCTACCAGCATGAGTTTGACCAGACTGCAGGAGGACAGGAAGACTGGAGTGCCTGGAACAGGTGAGGCTGCAGGTCCCTTATTTTGGCTGCTGGTCCCTTATTTTCAAGGCTGCTGGTCCCTTATTTTCAAATCTGTAAGTTGACAGCTATGCACTTTGTTCTGCCTGACCCTGTTTTCAGGCGCTAGCCACTGTCGTTGAACAATACTGAGGCAATCCCACAGGAGGAAGCTAAATATGCTTCTGAGCTTTTCAAAGGAACAGAGCACGTAACTGTTAAATATATTATCTCCCAGTGTGTATTGTTCTTCTTGGCTTTCATTTCCTGTTCTTGAGGGGATTAGGAGTTTAAGCCCATGAATCATTGCAGAACCTATTAATGCTGCCAGCCCATCTCAGCAACGGATATAAAGAAACAGATAATAATACCAGCTTCATTCAACCAGCACAACACAAACAAGACTTCACCAGTCTCTCAGAGGTGCTTCCAATCCAGGGGTGTGGATAAGACATACAGCTGCCACTTGGTTAAAAAACAGAAAAACAGAGACAAGAGTAAAGACAGCCGCATTTTCCCAGTGATAAGCACATAATTCTTGAGGAGCTAAGGGGTTACTGAGATTGGCAGTCTGCGATACTTTAGGTAATTTCCCAGGTAATCACAAAAGCATCTGAGTCTCACACCTGAACTTGTTCCTCAGGTGTTCACTCTTGCCGTATATGAATTCTCACTGTCCATCTCAACTAAAGCCCAGCTTTTTGAGGGGTGCAATAGACTGTATCTGTAGGCCCTGTGTGTGTACAGTTTATCACCTGCTTGAAGGAACTGTTCATTATTATTATTTTGTTATTTATATGCAGTCCATCTGACTGGGTTGCCTGAGCCTCTCTCTGGAGCTACCTATATGAAATTTGGTAGTATTAATCCCCTCTTGGTGGGCTACCATGCTTCCAAATTCCTTACACCTAGGTGGACAAACAAAAAAGTTGTGGCCGTTTCTCTTTCCCAATGCAAGTGAATGGGAGTACAAGATCTGGATCTGGCTCCAGATCGACTCAAACTGAATCAGGGCCAAAACCAGATCACTGAATCGGGCCTTGCATTGGAACAGAGGGTCCTTGCAAAGGCCTGCTATTTGGGCTGTGCGACACGGGTGGCGCTGTGGGTTAAACCACAGAGCCTAGGGCTTGCCGATCAGAAGGTCGGCGGTTCGAATCCCTGCGACGGGGTGAGCTCCCGTTGCTCGGTCCCTGCTCCTGCCAACCTAGCAGTTCGAAAGCATGTCAAAGTGCAAGTAGATAAATAGGTACCGCTCCGGCGGGAAGGAAAATGGTGTTTCTGTGCGCTGCTCTGGTTCGCCAGAAGTGGCTTAGTCATGCTGGCCACATGACCTGGAAGCTGTACGCTGGCTTCCTCAGCCAATAAAGCGAGATGAGCGCCTCAACCCCAGAGTCGGTCACAACTGGATCTAATGGTCAGGGATCCCTTTACCTTTTAATCCCCTCTTGGCGGGCTACCATGCCTCCAAATTCCTTGCACCTAGGTGGACAAACAAAAAAGTTGTGGCCATTTCTGTTTCCCATTGCAAGTGAATGGGAGTACAGTACAAGATTTGAATTTCTGGATCTGGCTCCAGATCGACTCAAACTGAATCAGGGCCAAAACCAGATCGCTGAATCAGGCCTTGCATTGGATCAGAGGGTCCTTGCACAGGCCTGCTATTTGGGCTGTGCTACATACAGCAAAATTACTTAAGTCACCATCACTGATCTCCAGGAGCACCTCTTATGTTAGGAGTGTGTATCTGGCTAGATTTTTTGAAAGGGAAGCGAGTGTTCCATGTCATAGATATTGATTGCCCCACAGAAAAACAAATGCTATGGTGACAGCAAAACAATTGCTGTCTCTCACTATTGTCATTAAAAAGGGACTTGGAAAGTGACAAGGTGTTGTGGGACATCTTTTGACTGATCATGTGGAGAGGAACACCCTGGTCTCGATTCTCTCACCACAGAGTGTTGCCATGTGTGTTTGAGTAGAAGCACCAACGTCCACTCTGCAGACTTTTCCTGTATTTGAAATCGTCTCAGAATATTCAAAGAGTAGAGAGCAAATTGTCTGCAATTTGTCGTACTTTCCTACAAAGTGCTTCTGCTCTGATGACTGAACGATGTCTCCAGCACAGATTGCCTCGCTGTTAGGATCTTTACTGAGAAAAGGTAGATCAGCGTTGGGGATAATTTCATTAGCAATTTCTCACGGGCAATCATCACATCTTCTTGGTTTCAGGGAAGGCACTAAGTCGTGGCAAAAGAAGATAATAAATCTGGGACGCTTCAGTGACTGTTATGGATTGTTATTATGGGAACTGCAGCTGAAAGGCCTTCACCATAATTGGCAATGCCTTCTATCTCAGCACAAAGATAAAATACTATCTTTTGATAGGGAACAAGGGTCTGCTTATATTGCAGGTTACTTCCTTTCTTTTGATTGCTGTGTTGATTCTTATTGTGTTTGTCCTGGGCTGTGTGCTCTACCCCCTGCTTACAAATCTTGAGACTAGGCTGGGTCCAGGCAATCATTTTGAAGGCAGAAAATGGGTTTGAGGCTGAGAGGCATCAGTTTCCATGCATGCAGCAGTACATGTAATTCTTTTCTCCCACTGTTTCTTCTGGTCAATCAGGTTTTGCAGGATTATTATTATGTTTTAATAATTATAAAAAATCTGGCCACACACAAAAGAAGAAAACTGCAAAAGTGAATTTTGTCACAAGTAGTGATGTCTCTGTCAAACCCCCTTTAGGTGTCCGAAAAACAACAACAACAATGTATCTTCTGAGTCCACATCCTTAAGGGAAACTAAGTTACCTTTAGGGCAAGTGTGGTGAAAACTTTTTTGCTCCAGATATTGGTGAATTACAACTCCACCCTGTTCTATTATTGGACATGCTAGCTGGGTCTGATGGGGTTTTTAATTTAGTAACATCTGGAAAGGGTAGTATTCAACTACATTTTATTTAAGAGTAGATCCACTGAAATTAATGAACATGAGTAAGTTAGGTGGATTAGTTTCAATGATTCTGCTCTGAGTAAAATTTAGTTGAATACCACCCAGAGGTTCCCCACACCTGCTTTAGGGATTTGGGCATGTAATATGTAAATGTTGTTGTTGATGTTTGTTATTCAGGGTTTGGCAGTTTGAATAACCTCCCCTCAAAGCCCAATCAATTCTCCATTTCTGATTAATATCAGAGTGTAAACTCAGAGACAACACAAGTATCCTGGGATTGTCACCCTGTGAAGTCAGAAATTGTTGTCATACTCACATGTGACTGTTTTTGTGTACTTTTGAGACCTTTCAAGGGGGCTAAAAGGAGGTATGGGTGGTCACACTGACACCTGTAAATGCTGCACTGGCCATCCCTGTTGTATCAGAAAAATAAAACAAGTTTTTTAAAAAGATGGCCATCATATCGCTTCTTAATCATCTATTCCTGAGACATATCAACTCCTTATAC